CTGAGGAACCTCCACACTGTTTTCCAGAGGGGCTGTACCAGTTTACATTCCCACCAACAGTGCAGGAGGGTGCCCGTTTCTCCACATCCTCGCCAGCATCTAGAGTTCTCTGATTTGCTCATTTTAGCCACTCTGACTGGCGTGAGGTGGTATCTCAGTGTGGTTTTGATTTGTATTTCCCTGATGAGGAGGGATGCTGAGCATCGTTTCATGTGTCTGTTGGCCATCTGGATGTCCTCTTTGGAGAACTGTCTGTTCATGTCTTCTGCCCATTTCTTCACTGGGTTGTTTGTTTTTCGGGCGTAGAGTTTGGTGAGTTCCTTCCGGCACTGCTAGTTTTAAAAGGATGGTCTGGGAAGGTGTCCCTGAGAAGGTGACATCTGACCAAAGACTGGAAGGGCGTCGGGGAGTGAGCTCTGAGGAGGCCAGGCAGCAGAGCGGCCGGGGAAGAAGGCTCTGAGGCAGGGCCGTGCATGACCGCGGGAGGGCGCCGCGAGTGCTCCATAGGGAGGGCTCAACCAACCGCCGCAGCCCTCACTGCGTCCATTTCACAGATGAGAGGCTGGGGTGAGAAACTCCGGAGCCTTTTGCACAAGACCACACAGCTGCGAGTGGCCGGGGGTGGGTGTGGGGGGGGGGGGGGGGCAGGCCTCTGAAGGCAAGGAGACACCGAAGCCTCTCCCTCCCCGAGGTCCCGCCCAGGTCTCCAGCTCGCCAGCCTCACAGGCCCAGACACCCAGATTCCAGGGAGGCCTCTGCAGTCCTGGGTGGCGATGGAGCGCACAGGCCATTGGAGCAGGACAGGTCAGGCTCTCCCGCGCGGCGGTGGCTCTGGAGCCAGGACAGAGCAGCCTCATCTGCCTGTCCTTTTGGTGGTGGCTGATCTTCTGGAAGCCCCTAGAGCCTGCATTTTTATGATGGCACCGACAGGTGAACACTGAGGCTCACAGAGGTGACCTAGCCGAGGACATGCAAGTGAGCTGGCCTCCAAGTCTTCCTGGGGACAGCCCTGATCTTCAGACCCACCTCATCTCGGGTCTTGTCTTGGGCCTCCAGGAACCCAATATCACCTTCACTTCCGTGCTCTGGGCACCTTACTCGATTCCCCCTCCATCTGGGCCCTGGGAAGGAAAGACACCGGGAGAGCCTACCCGTGTTTCCTCCACGCACACCGCGCTGGGCTCTGGGGGTCGGACAGCGGCCCCGAGCTCCAGGAGCGGCCAGTCGGACCAGAGAGGCTGGCACGGAGAGAAAATAACTCTTAAGACATCAGAGCAATAATGCAGGTAAAGGGCCAATCCAACTGGAGGGGCCCGAGGTAGGCTTCCAGGGGGAGAAGGCATTACAGCTGGACCTTGCAGGGTGACGGTGTCTGTGGCCCTTGGCAATTCCTCAAGAGAACACCCAACTAGGGCTGTGCACCCCGGGGTCCCACAGAGAAAGAAGAGCAGGGAAAAGGGGTGGGGGGATGTTCGTCGGAAGCTTCCTTTCAGCCTTCGGGTGGCGCCCTTGAGCCACGGAGTCGCACGCGCCTGGGAAGACTTGTCCCGACCTGAGGACCGAGGACCCGGGTCCCACCTGGGGGCTGTGCGCGTGGGGGGGGGGGGGGGGGGGGGGGGGGGGGGGGGGTGGAGGCAGAGGGAGCGAAGGGGCTCCGCGCAGAAATGGGCTCCCCAGCGGGGGAGGGGAGAGGCAGGCGGCGGGGGAGGGGTCTCCCCTCAGCACCCACCCCCGCGCCCCGCCCCTGCAGCCAGCCCCGCGGGCTCCAAGCTTCAATTCCCCGAGCCGGGGCGCCGGCGTAACAGCTAAGCCCTCGGGGACGGGGAGGGGCTGGAGCCCGATCCCCCGCCGGCCCGACATCCAGCCTGCTACCCGCCTCGCGTTCCCTCCCCGCGCTAACTCTCCGGGCGCCCGCGCCGGTCGCGGGCGGAGCTGGCTCGGCGGCTCTCGGAGCTCCCCGGCCCCCGCCCCTGCCCCTCCCTCCCCGGAGCCTCCCGCGGCAGCAGCCGGAGAGCCCCGCGCGGCGCGAGCAGGTACGTGCGCCGCGGACGCGGCTCCGGGCCGGGGAGGGGGTGGGGGCCGGGGAGGGCGAGGCGGCGGCGGCCGGGCCCGCGCCCGCCTGGGCTGCGTCGCAGCGGAGACACCGGCGGGCGGGCGGGCGAGCGGCGGTGCGGGGAGGCGGGCGGGCGCGCGGGCAGGACGCGCCCCTGCCCTGGCCCGCCGGTGCCCGCGCCGCCCGCGTGCGGAGCCAGGGAGGGAGGCCCGGCGCAGGTACGCACGCGGACCAGGAACGGCGGGGGCCGGCCGGAGGCCGAGGGCCCCAGGCGCGGAGGGCCGGCGAGGGAGAGCCGGCCTGACCTCGCGGCCCGGCCGAAGGACACGCGGCGAGGGGACCCGGGCGCACGCCGGTCCGCGCGGAGCCCGGCCTCCTCGGGCTGCCCGGCCGCCCTGCTACCGGCGCCACCCGGCCCGGTCCGGCCTGGCCCGGCCCGGCCGCGTTTGTGGTCAAGGGCAGGAGCAGGGGGTGTGAGCTGCGGGCAGGGGGGCGCGCGGTGCGGCGGGCAGCCGGGCTGCTGGGGCTTTCTGCGCGGAACTTTGGGTACAACAGCGTGGACCTGCGTGTGCGTAGGTGCGCGCCCCGAGGCTTTGTGTACAACTCGTGCGTGTGTGTATCGATTGGGTTTTGTGAAGCTTTACCCACGGCCGCTGTGCGTCTGTCTCCTCGAGCGTCGGTGCGCGCGGGTGGGTGGGGGTGCCGGCCCCGGGCGGGTCTGAGTGGGAGCCGTCCTGGGGGTAGTGAATTATGTGTTCGTACCCAGCCCTACACCTTCCTGGGGTGTATGAGTACCAGCGAGGTCTGCGGATCTGTGGGTCACCCTGCGTGGCTTCCCACGACTGTGGGTGCTGCCCGTGGGAAAGGTCCCTGGGGTTGTGGATGTGGCACTGGGGTGTGTCTGTCTGTCAGATCCTGTTGGACTGCAGATAAAATTGGAGTGTAACTGGTACTACGTTGGGGGAGGGGGGGGGCGTGAACCATGGACACCAGCATCTTTGCCAGTTTGTTTCCACTTGTGTTTGGGGTGACTGACAGGCATGCCCTTGTATAACTGGTGGGTATCTCTGAATCTGTGTGTGGGAGACGTCACAACCCTGGGTGATGGGGACGCTTTTTCTTTGCCCTTGTCCCGGGCGCTGGTGTCCTAAGAAAGAGTTTTGGGCTCCTGCTGGGTAAAAGAGAGCCCTGCTTCCAGAATTTGGGTGCCCTGAGTTTCCTTGGGACATTGGATCATCCAAATGCTGGTCCGGGAGGGGAGTTCTTGGGTCACCCCGGGAGCTGTGTTCTGTGCAAGATGTTAAAGATCTGGGTGTGGGGGTGGGGGGGGCACGGGGAAGGGACACATCTGGACACCCACTGGGCAGGCGTGGTTGCTGCCAGTCCCTGTTCATGGTGGCAGTCAGGAAAATGGTTTTGGTGCCAAGGGTAAAAAAGCCAGCCGGCACACCGCACCTCTTCTGTCCGCTTACTGGAAAGTGGGAGCATTCTGGACAGAGCCTGGCTCTGAGTAGGTACCCTGCTACTTAGGGTTGGGGGAGGGATTGTCTGCCTGGGCAGGTCACCAAGCCATTTCTGAGGGCTGGAGGGGTTCCAGGCCAGGGGCCTGGGACCCAGGCGGGATTCAGACCCATCCCTGCCCTCAGGCTGCTCCCCATGGCCTTCAGCAGTGGGGCAGAGTCAAGTCTCGAGTGGCGGCGGCTGGAAGAGCCAGGGAGGCAGGGTGGAAAGACGGAGTTGGCGCTCACGGGTTGGTAGGCGATGATTGTTAGGGAAACTGTGTTCGACTTCTGGCCCCCACACGCACGCCAGGGGATCTTGGCCGTGGTTTGCAAAACGGAGCCGGTAATTCCTGCTCACGGGGCTGGTGAGGGTGACGGGAGGCGCTCCTGAGTGAGGGGCCTGCGATGGGGCGGGCAGGTGCTCAGTAAAGGTTTATTAAATTGGAGCGCAGGAAAGAGGGACGTGGTGGTAGGGATGGGTTGTAAGTGGAAGCTGGCTTTGTACTCAGATGAAAGGCCCTGTGTGTGCTAAGAGGAGGTATCTGCTGCAAAGGCCACGTTGGAAGGAAGATCAGAAAAATCAAAAAACGTGCCTTCCTGCACTGAGGCTCTTTTTCATTCATTCATTCTATTCATTTTCACTTCATTTGCTCATATTGCCCCTTTCTCTCTCTCTCTCTCTCTCTCTCTCACACACACACACACACACACACACACGGAACCACAGAGCACTGGAGAATAAATTCACAGATGGGAATGCAGAGAAACATCTAGAATCACGTGTGTACGTGTGTGGAGACCCACCAGGGCATGGGAGCCACTGTGTACCTGGGGGCTCTCTGTACAGCGTTGGCGACTCGGGTCTGTGTGCCCGGGGCCCTGGGTGTCCGTGTGTGCAGGGAACAGAGAAGTTCTGTTGTGGGATCTGGAGTTCTGTCTGCCCCGTGGGGAAGGGGGCTCAGGCAGGACCTGGAGGGGGCACAGCAGTGGACCTGCCCGAGGGGACCGCCGAGTGTGGTTATGCGGGGAGGTGGGCCTAGGTCGGCTGGAGTCTCCCACTTTGCAAGAGAAGCCGGGAACCCAGAGCTCAAAATGTAAAATCTTTGGCTTTTTATATATTGGCAACTACTTCAAAAACAAAGGAATAGGCCAAAAACAACAAGAAAGCAAAATTTCTGTGAGCCAAATAGGGTCCTCTGGCCGAAGGTGGCACTCTTTGGCAGGAATGCGCATGTGCCGTCTGTCTGGGTGTTCAGATACTTGGGTGGGGCACCTCCTTTGAGCCGACAGTGCCCCCTTCACCACTTGCCCCCTCCCCCCCAGCTCCCTTTCCAGCTCCTCCCATCTTCTACTTCCATAAAGGCGTTCGGCTTTGACCTCAGCCATGGCTCTCCAACGGGCTCCTTCCTGTTTACCCTCCGAGCCACCATCCCTGCCACCGCTGAGCACATCAGCTTCCTCCCTGGCCCCCTGGCCCCCAGGCGCCTCCTTCCCATCCCGTCTGTCTTCCACGCGGCAGCCCCAGAGAGCTTCCTGAAACCTGGGCAGCCAGAAGTCTTTCCTGCCATCCCACCTCACCTCCCTGGCTCCTTGGCCAGGCCTTCAGAGTCCTTTGAGAGCTGGTCGAACTGGCACCCCCTCTAGAATGCCCACGTCCCCTCTCACTGCTGGGGGATTTTCCCACTCACCCTCTGAGGTCTGGCTCAAAGGCCACCAGCTCCTAGAAGCTTCCCTGACTTTCTCCTCTAAGTTGGTACATCATCTTCCTCATCTCCACCCCTCGCCCTGCCCCCCCGGCCATTCACGTTTCACCACAACAGTGTCTGTCCACTAGTTGAACTGGCTGGGGCCTTACCTTATTTTGTGAAATCCTCACATCAACCTAGGAGGGAGGCGCTTTGCTCACTCCCATTTAACAGATAAAAACGTTGAGTCTGAAGAGGTCAGAGCACTTGCCCAAGTTCAAGTAGTGAAGCTGGGATTTGAGCCTGATAGCCACCATCTGAAATGATACTGACCGTTTACTGCTGATACTTACCGAGCCCTTACTGTTCTGAGTAGCTTACATGGATTATCTCGGTTCCTACGCCAGTCCCATTAAGTAGGGAGTAGTAGTATTACTGTCCCTTAGTAGGCAGGGAAACTGAGGCCCAGCGAGGATAAGTAAATTGCCCAAAGCAGGTGGAGCAGCCAGTGGAGCAAGGTCCAGGCCTGCATTGGATGACACCACTCAGTCACTGTCTAACGCCCCCCTCCCCCCCCCTCCGTCCGGCAGTCTCCCCCAGGGAACTGTGCCTGGACCGCCCTCGCATCACTCATGGCCCCAGCAGGCTCTTGGTAGAGGTTTGCTAAATTCACCTGACTTTCTCTTCTCTTCTAGGTGCCAAGGGGCCGAGGGATGAGCGGGGGCCCTCCTTCCCAATGGCATCTATCCCCGGTCTGGAACTGAAGACACTGCGCAATGGCCCCCAGATCCCAAGGAGACCGGCTCCTCTGGGCCCGGCGGCCCCACCCAGGGAGGGTGTGGAGAATGCCTGCTTTTCCTCAGAGGAGCAGGAGACCCATTTCCAGAACCCTGGGGACACCAGACTGGGCAGCTCCCCCAGCCCTCCTGGGGGTGTCCCCTCCAGACCCCGATCCCAGCGGGACGATCTATCCCTGCACTCCGAAGAGGGGCCAGTCCTGGAGCCCGTGAGCCACCCGGTGGATTATGGCTTTGTTTCCGCTCTGGTTTTTCTGGTGAGTGGGATCCTCCTGGTGGTGACGGCGTACGCCATCCCCCGTGAGGCCCGCGTCAACCCCGACACGGTGACAGCGCGGGAGATGGAGCGACTGGAGATGTACTATGCCCGCCTGGGCTCCCACCTAGACAAGTGCATCATCGCGGGCCTGGGGCTGCTCACCGTGGGGGGCATGCTCTTGTCGGTGCTGCTGATGGTGTCCCTGTGCAAGGGCGAGCTGTACCGGCGGCCCACCTTCGTCACTGGGAGAGGCTCCAGGAAGACCTACGGCTCCATTAACCTGCGCATGAGACAGCTCAATGGGGACGGGGGCCAGGCTCTGGTGGAGAACGAAGTCGTCCAGGTCTCGGAGCTCAGTCACGCCCTCCAGGGGTCTTAAGAAAGCGCTCACCCTCTCTGGCTGCTTCAGCTTCAGGGCCACAAGGCTGCCGAAAGCCTGGGGTTGCAGACTGAGCTCCACGGAGGGTCCTGCGGAAGCAGTCTTGGGTGCTGGAGGGGAGTCCGGGGCCGGGCCCAGGCTGCACGTGGGAGAGCAGCCCCTCTGATCTGTTTGCAGCTTGAGGTTTTGCATTAAGGTTTGTTCGGAGGAGGGCTTCTGCAGCTAAAAATACAAAAGTTTGGAAACGCTGCCCTTGGAAGATGAGGTTTCTTGGCATTTCCGAGGATTGAGAGCCCTTTGAAAGGCTGCCCATCCTGTTCCTCATTGCCTTGGGGAATTCCCGGAGCCCCGCTGTCCTCATCAGCCAAGTGTGGGTGCCAGGCGACCTTGGAGGGCCCCCCCTTTTCAGCCCTGACCGTCTGTTGGGAGGTGGCTTCCCGAGGAGAGGAGAATCCAACACCAAGCTGACCATCCCCTCTCCGGGCCTCGGTCCCCCTGACTGTGAAATGAGAGGGTTGGGCTGCATGATTCCTGGGGCCCCTCCAGTTCTGCCCTGGGAATGGGAGCCCAGTAGATATCTGCCTCTGGCCACCCCTACAGGGACGGAGGGGGTCCGGCAGCTGCTCCCCATCCTCTCGGGCCGTGTTCTGGCCCAGCTTTGGTGGCCACCGTTGTCGGACATCCAGCCGCTCGCAGGGGCCCGAGTGCCCTGGTTACGCCGGGTTGGAGTCCAAAGTTTGCGACAGCCCGATTTTGGTCTTGGGATCGAATGACCTGCAGCGACCACATCGTAGCACACACTTCACAAGGTCAAGTGCACCCCTGGACAAGAGGGGCCTCTCCTACAAGAAAAGGGTGAGGGCTTTGTTGTATTTCCGCGGACATGATGTGGCCTTCCGTCACCTCCCTCTTCTCAATATCACGCCTCTGGCCCCGACCTTATCCTGGTAGCAGAAAAAAAAAATTTTTTTTTTTAAATGCTGAATTCGAAACCTTCCTTCTTCCCCCTTAGCAGTCAAGTGAGCCCCTGTGTATTGGGGGAGAAACCAGGCACATTCTGGTGGCCTGGGAGTTCTAGCTGTGGTGACCAATTTGTCCCGTTTTTCTCCTGGAGTATTCACAGGCTCCTCCAGACTCTCTAAACTACTGACAAGGAAAGGAAGTGGGCTCTAGGGGGCAGGGAGATACAGGTGCTTGAGGACTGGGGGAGGCATCACCCAGCGTGAACAGCCCTAGAGGGGCTTTGAGGGTAAGCCTTCTAGGCCACTGGTGTGAAGACTCTAAAGGGGTCGTTTCTGTGAGCCCCCTGACCCCACTCAGGTCCTACTCACCCCATCTCAGTTGGCCACGTGGGCCCGGGATCACAACTGTCCCTGGGGGGTGGGAGCGTGGGGCGGGAATGGGGTCTGTAGGCGAAAGCAGCCCTGATTAGCTGTAACCCGAGCCTTCAGCCCAGTGGGCTGAACATCTGGGAAATGTAACATCACAGCTTCTAAGCCGGATCAAATATCTGCTCCTGCTGGCAGGTTTTGCCCGGCGCAGAGGGCTGGGGGAGGACCGGAGGGGACAAGGGCTGTTCAGCTCAGCCTGCCAGACTTGTTCCTGGTGTTGAAGGGGTGTGGTTTGAAAAGAACAAAGCCTCTGGTTGGTAAAAGATTCACGAGTCAGGGCTTCCCTGATGTGTCAATTCTCCCCCCTCTCCCCTCCCCCCACACTCCGAGAAAGAAGTGGCTACAGAAAGCGGCAGGAGCTGTTCTAGGTGAACTGCAGTCAAGCTGAACATCCCAAGGGATGGGCTAAGGCCTTTCGAATCCATAGTGATAATAATAAAAATACTGGTCCCAGCCCTATAGATGACTGTGACAGTGAGGGGCTCATTTGAGTCTCACCTGTTGAGCGGATGCATCTGGGACAATCAGTTGCTCTCAGTTGAAACGCAGTGGATTTATTTAGGGGCTAAATCTGTTGGAAGATTAAATCCTGGGAATCTCAGGTTCTCTCTAAGCCAGAGAAGCCTGCTATGCATCCTAATGTGGAAATGCCTTTAGAAAATGTATATAATGGATCGAGGCGGTCATTACCTTTACAGTGAATTAAGAACATTTGAGAGCCAGAAACATTTCCCCCGGGGTTGCCGCTCAGATCTCCCAGCCGGTGGATCAGAAACAGGTTTAGGAAGGAATCGGAGAAACGTGGCGCAGGGTGCCGAGAACCTTCCGTACGGGTTTTGTTGGGGGCAAGTGTGATGTGGTCCCAGGGAGCCCGGTGGTCACTGGAACATGCCTCCCTTCCAGAAACAGCCTTGCCCGCCTGACAGGCTATGAGGGTCCCAAAACCTTGCTTCTCTAGTGTTACCTGTCCACTTTGGAGTTGGGCCAACCTGGGTTTGAATCCAGATTCTGCCGTTCACTGTCTGTGTGACCTTGGGCACTCCACCTCTCTGAGAACTGTGTTGTCTGTCAAGGGGGAGAGGTAGGAGGTCTGGTCCCTACGATCACTCCTTCTCCACCTCAGTGGGGGACAGATACCTTGATTAGGACTAAAACCTCAGGGCTGCCATTCTGCCTGCTATCTCGCACTCCTCTCATCCTACCTGTGAGCACTTCTGGTTAGTTCTATGTTTGGAATCTGCCCGTGTCCACCCCTTGGGTGCAGTTACCTGGTCCACACGGCTCATTGGTATTGGAATCACTGATTCCTCTCCTGTCAGCCCTCTGCCCCCATTCATCTTCCACTGTGCAGCCAGACAGATTTAATTGGGTCAGGTCCCTCCTCTTCTCAGAATTCCCCTATGGCTCCCTCTCATTCTGGGCAAAAGCCAAAATTCTGCCTCTGGTCAGATGTCCTGTCCAGGCCCCTCACTTGCCTGGGTACCTCCCAAGTCCCTGAGTCAAAGTTTTATTTGTAATTTTGATTTCTTTTTAAAGGATGGTCCCTTAAATTGCATAGACGCGGGTCTTCCCAGATGTGTGTCCATCCCCAACGGGGGACCATGAAATTCTGCTACTATCCGGTCCCAGTGCCCCTCTGACCTTATTTCTCACACCTTGCCTTTGCTCACTCCAGCCATACTCACCTCCTTGCTGGTCCTCAACCTGCCAGGCACACTCCCCCCTCAGGGCCTTTGCACTTGCTGCTCCTTCTACCAGGAAGGCATTTCACCTTAATATGTGCCAGGCCCACTCGGGTCACCTCCTTAGGGGCTTTATTCAAATACCACCTTTTCAGTGAGTCCTTTGCTGACGCTGATTTAAAATTGCGCCCTTCCCCCACCTCAACCTCATTCTCTTTTTTCCTTCCCTGCTTTTTCTCCAGAGCTAATCACCACTTGGCCCGCCCTGTTTTATACTTATTGTCGCTCTCTGCCACCTCCCCCTTGCAAGCAACGTGAGGACTGGCATTTTGTAGGCCCCGGGGCTAGAACTGTGCTTGACACACAATCGCTGTTCACCGTTGAGCTGTTCACCGGTGAACGAACAGTGCGGGGCCCTGGAGACCCCTAGCCCCTGCCTCACCTCCCGGAGCCCCCTCTAGGGGTGGGTGACGGTCGTGCAGAAGATCCCCGCGCTGGAAGTATGGAGTTTATTTTGTCTCTGGGACCTGACGTTGGAGCTTGGGAACCCATTTGCCTTCCTCTCTCAGGACCTCGGTACTTACTGCTTTATGTGGGAGAGGTAGAGGGGTTCCTCTCATGGAGGAAGATCCCTCTTCCCGAGCCTTGTTGGAGGCAAGTCCCAGCTAGTCTTGAGGAGCATTTGCTGGGTATTTAGGAGCCTGTGATACACCAGCCGGATTGTCTCTTGCTCAAGAACCTTGAGTGGCCGGGCCTGGACCTCCGAAGCCCCAGGGTCTATCATCACATCCGTTCACGGACCCCTGGCATCCCAGGAGTCTCCTGGCTGAAAGTGCCTGCCATTGGGAGATTCCACCGTTACCCTCCTCCCTTCCTTGAGAATAAGCATCACCTGCTTTGGGATTCTCTTTAAAATGTCCTCCTCATTACACATATATACCTACACTTACACGTGCACAGGCACAGAGCTGAGCAGGCACACGTCACACACACGCGACCTTCTCTTGTCTGACCTCGCTCGGAAGCCAAGGACGCCTACTCTTTTGAGGCAGCTCCAAGCCAAGGCAACTTCTAGATTATTGACAGCATTTTCTCCTTCTCCAGAAGCCACAGGCCTTGCCGTTCCCAGGAAGGTGACCTCATAGCCACAGTCCGGTTCCCCCTCTCCAGGTTATGCTGGTATCTCTCGCTTTCATGCTCCCCTGCTTGGGTGGAGGAGGAGAGATGTCCCCAGAGGGTTGCCACCTGGCCTTCTGGGAGGGGACTGCGTGGTCCTGGCTGGAAACCAGGTGAGCTGAAGTCCTCAAGTCACTCCTTCCCTACGGGCCATGGGCAAATCGCTCCACCCTTCTGGTCCTCCAGAATGAAATTGGAAACCTTTCCACTCTGCCTTGTCTGGGGGCTCAGATCAGGAAACACAAGCAGAGGGCATTCCAAAATTAAGAGCATGTTACCCTATGTCTGGCTTTGGAGGGGCAGAGGGAGGGAGGAGGAAGGGAGGGCATTATGAACATGCCCCAGGAGCTGGAGTTTGGTCTGGGAGAAAAGTGGGGGGTTGGTGGCACTGACAAAGTCAAGGAGATGCCTTCCATCTGGGCCTGTTGGATTCTCTGGGAGAGTAGACTGCCCTTGATGTCCCTAAGGAGGTTAAAAGTCATCTGAGGGAAGATTTTGCTGAGGTCTTCTCCCGGTTGGAGTGGTAGGGAGCTCCTTATTGGTGGAGGTATTTTAGATTACTGGTAAGGTTGTTGGGTATCATTAGGGATGGAGCATAGTAGAGTTGGGTAGGATTTAATCAAGAGGCTCCCCCAGGTTCCAACCCCATTCTTAATTTTTTTTAATGTTTAATTTTGAGACAGAGATGAAGCATGAGTGGGGGAGGAGGAGAGAGAGAGGGGGGCACAGAATGGGAAGCAGGTTCCAGGCTCTGAGCTGTCAGCACAGAGCCCAACGCGGGGCTCGAACTCATGAACTGAGATCATGACCTGAGCTGAAGTTAGACGCTTAACTGGCTGAGCCACCCAGGCGCCCCCCAACCCCCCCGTTCTTTAAGGAGAGCCGATGTCCCAGGAGCCAGCCCTCTGTATCTTCTGGTCTTTGGCCCAAATACCCTCTTCCCCAGATCATCCCTCTTCCTGGGTCAGGTCATCTGTGAGCAAATGAGAAGCCCCAGGATATCTGAATGGTGCCTCCGGTGGCAGGATTACTGCCTTCCTTCTCCAAGGAGGCCAAGCACTTCTGAGCTTTGTCCCTACTCAGGTTTCAGAGGTTTGAGACAGGGCCCCTCTTGGAGGGGGCCGACTGAGGACTGTCCATCATGCAAGAAGAGTAAATGGGAACAGGCTCCGGAGTCTGACTGCCTGGATGCTTGGCAGATGCCTAATGTCCCTGAGGCTGTTTCTTCATCTGTAGAATAAGGGTGCTAATAACAGCACCTTCTCAGCAAGGCACGGGAAGCAGTGAATGAGATCTCTGTAAAGCACTTAGCCCGGTGCCTGGCACTCCATCATTACTCAACACTATCAGCTATTCTCATTCACTCATTCATCCATCCATCCATCCATTCATTCATTCATTCATTCACATCTAATCAGCACTCTTCCCTGGGCAAGGCACTGCAGGGACACACGGCTCCTGGCCCTAAGTTAGTCACAGAATGCCTGGAGCCCCAGGACAGTGCACATCGGACGTGTGCGAGTGCGCACAGGAAGTATCTGATTGAGTTGGGGGTCAGAAAAGGTTTTCGTGGATGATTAGAAGGCATCATAAACCGTGAGGCAGCGTCTGATACGAGGAGAGTTATCTGATGTGGGGAACAGGAAAGGTATACTGGGAGAGGGATCAGCATGATCAGAGGCTCAGTGGCATAAGAA